TTCCCTTCCCAAAGCCTCCCCCTGCCCGGTCCCTTTCCCACCGCCTGGAAGGTGGTGCTGCAGGGGCGAGGGCCCTTCGTGCCCAGCAGGTGTGGGGCAGCTGCTGCTCTCCTCTCTCTGCTTTTTCCTGTTAGCAACCCAATGAGTAGTAGGAGGGCCAGTCAGGAGGAAGAAGAGATTAAAGATCAGTCGCCTTCTCCTTTCCTCACCCTATAATTCCTAGAGGGCCCTTCGTGCCCAGCAGGTGTGGGGCAGCTGCTGCTCTCCTCTCTCTGCTTTTTCCCGTTAGCAACCCAATGAGTAGTAGGAGGGCCAGTCAGGAGGAAGAAGAGATTAAAAATCAGTCGCCTTCTCCTTTCCTCACACTATACTTCCTAGGGAGGAAATCCTCTTAAACGTCGGTAGGGTGTCTCGTTGCGTTTTAGTGTTAGCAATATAAAACTGGGCTTGGAAAATCCTGTGTGCTGTGGTTTTGCAGGGGTTTGTTTTTTTTGTTTGTTTTGCTTTTATTGTATGGATATGCTTTAGTCAAACACTTCCAGATGATTTCCCCCAAGGAAAATGCTCCCAGTTGCAATCCTTTGTTTCTAAAGGAAGGTACCGTCCCCTGCCACTGAAATGCTGGGGCCTTGATAAATTTAGAAGACTCTGCCCTTGGCAGATAGAGAAGTAACATGTCATTCCAGTGATCTTTGCATTCTAGGAAAGCCTAAATCAACATTGCTTGTTTTGCATGTTGCCCTTTAGCAACAGCTTCTAAATTTCCAGTCTGAAGTATTACATGGACCCCCCCAAAAAAAAAGTATGGGGTAAAGAAACCCTTTGATACGTAGTAGCTGCAGAATGTGAATTGCAGCAGTTGTCAACTGTGTCAAGTCTGTATTCTGTGCTTCTGAGCCAAGAAAAATTGACTTTCTACTTAAGCACAGTTTTGGTGTGTTTGTTTTTTAATTAATTCTATGCTTCCTGCCTTTTGATCTTTTGGCGATGACATCGTTAGCTTCCAATGACTCAAGGGGCGGGGGAGAGATGACTGCATATGGGATTGATAGCAAAAGCAGAGCAAAGCACTAACTAATTGAATTTTCTGAAAATGTTGGTGGTCTTAACGATGAGTGGATGGTACTTAACCGCAAAGAGAAATTTAAATGATAGATGTGTTATTGCCCTTTACTCTTTCCTTAGCCCTAAACGAGTTCAGTTACTCCTACTGAGACAATCGCAGAACCTCAGCACTTAGGGGGTGGTGTGCCCGTGCCCACTGGTAACCCGTGACAAACAGCTGGACTCGGCACTAGCCTCCACTGGGCACCGGTGCACTTGCAGCTCCTGGAGTCTGAGGTCTTGTTTGCAAGAGATCTTAGAATAACAAAACAGCCATGGGTTTCCTTTAGTTCCACTGCAGGTCGTTTTGGATTTTATGTGTGAACAGCATTTTTCTAGCTCAGCTTCATAGTCGCGTTGTGTTTGTGTAAGTGTACTGCTGTTACACAGAAGGCTGAGGATGACTGCAAATGAAAGAGATGAGGGAGGGGAAAAAACTTTTCTCCGATGTTCGCTTTGTCTCTTAATTTTTATATTTTATTATCTTTCTTTCCCCAGTGGCTTTTTAAAGCAGAAGTTTAGTAGCTGTTCCCCAAAGTTCACGTTTCACCCCCAAAAGCAGTGCCATTTTTGGATATTGCTGAAACTGAGCAACTCGCTCTGCTTCTTTGCTTTTTCTACCAGCCTAGCAACCAAAGGCCTCCTCCCATTAACTGGAGTGGTCTTTCAAGATGAGAGCATCCCCTTTGAGCGATGCAGTTTCCACAGAAATATCAGCAACTCTGTAACTCCAAAGGGCAATTTCTCCCCTTACGTTGTTCATCCTTGCTGCTCCGGTATAGCCAAAAGGGTGCAAGAGTGACTCATTTCTAAATATACTTAATATTTGTGGTATAGGCAGGACTTCAGATAAGATGATGGGCTCTGATGGAGTTCATTGTAATTGTATCTCTTGCAACAGCCAAGGCCCCGGTTTCATTTTTAACCATAGTGGAACATATCTTGTTTTAGAGTACCAGATCTCTTTTTAGATTTTTACCTGAATGGGAATGTCCTAGAAAAGTTAATTTTACTTGGAGAGAAAATAGTAATTTAGTTGGAGAGAAATAAGTAATCAAAAAAGACATTGCCTGCAGATTCAATAGGGAAAAGGTTTGTTTTCTATTTGATTTAGGTAGGTTTTGTGCTATTGGGTTTATCTTTTTTTTTTTTTTTTTTTTTTTTTTTTAAAAGGGAGTAATTTACTAGATATGGTGTCCTGATTCCTCTCTCTCTGGCCTCTGCTTTAAAGCTTATGGAGCCCTCCGGACTCCATTGGCATTGCAGGTGGCTGCTCAAATAGAGTGGGCGTTGTGTGGGTTTTGGTTTTTTTTTTTTTCCTCCCCTAGTGAAATTGTTATATTATCTAAAAGACTTGTCTGTGGTGTTTATGCTGAAGAATTTATTACCTGTGAAGGCTGCAGAGAAGGATCACAAAGAAGTTTTAGCTGTCACCTGCAGCCACTCATACTGATTGATAGGCACTACCAAAAAATAAATAGTTTTCGTACTTTTTAGAACAACAGTTTTCTTCATAAAAGTTTGTGAAATGGACAGCAGTAACCTCTTACTCCAAATCAGTCTTGATGAAATACTGAAGGTTTTTCAGATTATAGCTTTGATGGATAACATTCTGTGTGTGACTGACATATTTTCTTCTGTTTTTTCTTTGTTTTAGCTGAACTGGAGTTTGTTCAAATCATCATTATAATTGTGGTTATAACTGTTATGGTGGTAGTGATCATCTGCTTGTTGAACCATTACAAACTCTCGACACGCTCCTTTATCAACCGACAGAGTCAAAGCAGAAGACAGGAGGAAACTTTGCAGGCGGTGAGTATGAGCCCCTTGCACCAAATTCCTTCTTGTGCTGTACGGGTCTGCAGCAAAGCCTCCTGAGGAGCTCTGGTGCAGGCAACTGTTGGAAAAACTTCTGATGTCACTTCTGATACTCCCTATAGTTAGGTCTTTCGAACTGTTATGGTGGTAGTGATCATCTGCTTGTTGAACCATTACAAACTCTCGACACGCTCCTTTATCAACCGACAGAGTCAAAGCAGAAGACAGGAGGAAACTTTGCAGGCGGTGAGTATGAGCCCCTTGCACCAAATTCCTTCTTGTGCTGTACGGGTCTGCAGCAAAGCCTCCTGAGGAGCTCTGGTGCAGGCAACTGTTGGAAAAACTTCTGATGTCACTTCTGATACTCCCTATAGTTAGGTCTTTCGCTGAAAAAAAAAATCAGAACATAAATTTAAGATACGCTGTCTTTGATTATTTCTAGACCCTGCTATGTTTTATGCAGCCTGTTTTCGTTTTGCAGTTGGAGGCTCAGATGTGACATCCTTTTTGCTGCCATAATTTGAAGGGGAGTGGAGGGGGAATGAATGGAGATCACCTGGGTTATGAAGATTTGAAATACGTGTTGCTGTGACTTTCCATGTATTTACTAATAACCTGGAATTTTGTCACTCTTAGTGTTTTGTGAAGCTGCAGTAATTGTTTGCTGGATCCAAAACACTGGTCCAGTAAGGGCTCAGGAAAATGTGATGTTTATTTCACTCAAACAGCAAGAAAATATTAGCAAGTGATCCCTCCAAGGACCTGGAGTGGTTAAGTTGTGTTGTTACACAGACCAAATATCAGTTGAGACTTGCTAAGGCTCTCTTTAGTCAACCCAACAGTGAACAGGCACCTAACTTGCCTCGTGAGCCAGGAGTTTACTAGGTGGGATGTGCTGCTCCCTTGTGAAGGTTAACCACAGGGTGTCCCTGACCTTGGGACATCCCCCTCCCCAAGCCACAAAGTATCCTGTGATATTGCAGGGAGGTGCTTTTGCTGATGTGCTTTTTGATGTCCTCAGAGTGGTGCCCTTGGCCTCTTTGACTGCGATGGCCAAGGGGCCATTTGTGAGGTAGCCTTCTGGTGCACTGAATTCCTGGCAACAGCATTGGGTTCACATTCATTTCGTTTTGCTGTGAGAAAAAATTGTCTGATTGTAACTGGAAGGTGTGATTCCACAATGGTTTACACCAGTTCTAAGTCCACAGTCTCACCTCTCTTTCCGTCCCGGCCCTATGTTTCCTCCTTCTTTGCGCTCCTTGGGGAGCTGCCAGGGTTGTGGTGAGAGGCCCCAGGGGGCTGATCTGGCTGAACACTAACTGCTTTTTTTTTTTTTTTCTT